TAAATACCCATTCACAAAAGGGGTATACAGCCTAAAAGCTAGGTCGGTTACGTTCCATTGGCTGCCTGGTATACAATATGCGCGTATAAATGATATTCCCACGGCGTATAACTGTTTTAAAGCGACGCGGGCTCTGTTTGTTGTGTGACAGTCAAGCGCCTTAACAGGGTATTGCATTTGTCTACAGTAGTTTGTTGAATTTGAGAACATTACTTTATAGCAATCAATAGCTGTATTTATAGAGAAGAGTTTCTGCGGGAATTCCGAATACGAAGCCCGGATTTTACAAGTATGATTTAAGTAAACAAATCTCATAATACATGAGATGTGTATCATATAAATCAATTATACGTAAAGTACTCGACTATGTTTTTGTCACTAAAATTACCATAAACAATGAGATGTAATTGATTTGTTATGGTATCCATGCGATAGGACAAGTCAAAACACGCGCACGCAAATAAACCCTCCCACGCGCACGCATGAATCTGTGCACGCAATAGAATACATGCATACACAAATAATGCTTAAAAAATAGTGTACATATGTAGTAAGAAATCGGCTGAGAAAGACATGCTCAAAGCAAGAGACTAACAGATCTATTTTTTCAGATGTACTCAGTAACACACTGTATTACCGGCGCCATTGATGACTGATTGCTGTAGTTATGTTTACTGCATTATTACTACAGGTAGTAGGTTATAAACTTGGTTGGTTTATTTACATTACACAAATAAAGACACTTTCATTGCTATAGACTTAAGGTCCAATGCTTGGGAAAACTATCAGGTAATGTAATTTTGGACTCGTTTCCCCTTTTCATTAAATATTCTAAGCGGGTTAAAATGGCAGCTTTGGAAAAATCCGGGTGAAAAATGTTTGTGTTTTGTTCAAAATATTTCAAGTTTGAAATAAAAAGAGAATTTCGTGTTATACACATAAACAAATCACGCTTGCCAAATGTCCACACTGTGTGTCTTTTTTGAGAATGCAGTCAAAGAGAAAATGTATTTCCGAGGTTGCCTTTGATGAAAGTTGCTTACATTCTTCCAGAAAATCCAGATCTAACAGGTAATCTGAATGTTATTGACCACTGTCATTGATGACAGATTGCTGTAGTGATATTTACTGCATGATTACTACAGGTTAGTTAGGTTATAAACGTAGTTGGTATATTGACATTACACAAATAAGGATAACTTTATTGGTATAAACTTACTGTCCATTTACTGGGAAAACTACAGTAATCAAGTAAATCTAGTCCGATATGTTAAAGTAAACACCATTGCAAATGAATTAAATATGCATCAATTACATAGTCTATGGTTCTTGTCTTAAAAGGTGGCAACAATTGTGGATATATTCAGAATATTATTAATATATTATAATGTTTCTGTGCGTGGTAAATATATGTAATTTCACATAGGTTTAAAACTTTAAGCATTTATCAAGTACATATTTATACAGATCACACTGAATTTACCAGAAAACAGTTCGGCCACCACATCCTTCCTGGACACGCAGTCAAGCAGTTAATCAGTACTAGATGCCTACACTTTGACGCAAGGAACTGAGAATTTCTGTACATTCCGGAGCAGAGGTACAGTGTGAATGGCTGTAGAAAAGATTTCATGTGCAAACAAAACGAAAGTGACCTGCACCGTCCGGGAATCGAACCCGGGTCGCGCGATTGACAGTCCAGTGCTATACCTATTGAACTAAGTGGACGGTATTTAGATCAAAGACATAGATTTGTTTCCATGCAATTTAAAATCGCACTGAATGATAGATTTCGTCTGCTTTTAAATGTACATGTACGTTTACTTTGTGCCATTAAAAAGATTTTTTTTTCGATGCACTTATCACATTGACAAATCTTTCATCTTGAAAAGATAAAAAAATGAAAGTTTAAAGGCTTGTGCCATTTAAAGAACCATTTTACAAAATTAATACAAAATAATCAAAGAGTGATCTTGATTTTCGTTACTTTTAGCATTATCGGTAGTCTGGAAAATACATATCTGTCTACAACAGCATGTTCATTTCATTGTCCAGACCACGCAAGTATTCCAAAAATAGACTAAATCAAACTGAGTCTGCAACATTTTAAATTTTGTCGTTTTAGACTTCTTATTTTTTGCTATATAGCTTTATTTAAATAAATAAATTTGCAACTGTACCACCGTGCTCGTAGACACTACATGTAGTTAGTTAAATGTTGATTTAAAGATCCTGTAACTCAATTTTTTGTTATGGTTTTATATCATAAATCTGATGCTCAAATGAAAATCTATCAACATTGTAAGTTCCAAAAAGCATTATTTGTAAAGATATTACCGAATTTACATTTCATGTAAATAAAGGGAGGTTGTTAGAAATCTATTTTCGAGAAAGTCGAAGTCAAATTTTTCAATTAGAAATGAATACATAGACTTCAATGATTACTTTTAATGCGAATAAACATTTGCAGTACATATTTAACATATTCTTTGATGTTTGGAAATTGTTTTAGAAGAATAATTATATACATATATAAAATTTCACTTTTTAAAAGTGTTGTTATATCCTTAATTATAACATTAAATCTCCGGCAGTGCAACCGCTTATAGTTGATTTTCATTGAACGCCGCCTTTCCTTGTTGATCTTGTTTATCATATTTAATGATTTTTGCTATATCAATAAAAGAGAACGTAAGCCATATTTAATCAAGCAAAAAAAACCTTACCCAGTTTGCTTTTCAGCTTATGTACCTACTTGTATATCATAATTAATATATTCAATATTTGTTTTTATCACTAATACATAATTTAAACAATTTTGGCAATATATGTCTTACTCAAATATTCTAGAGGCCATTAATTAAACCTCTCATGTCTTTATCATTTTCTCTTTTGGTTCCTTTGCTTCTGTCATGTGACCACATAATTATTGTACATGTTTTTGTAGTTATTGTATGTAACGAGATACTGTAAATTTATAAGTTACCGAAATAAACTATTTCTTCTTCCTCGTGACTTTTACATTTAATATTTGAAGAAAATTACTATACAGTCTCTTTTGAAATGTAAAATATACATCTTTTGAATACAAACTACAGGTAATCACCGTATGAATACATAGTGTCATTAAAAAAACTGGCAGTATCCAAATTATTTTGACAAGTAATATGAAATGCACCTTCCCAAACATAGTTTATACATTCACTTATTCAAATTAGACATATTCAGGAAGAATTTACTATATTTCAATACATTTCTGCAATGTAAAATATTTTACTTAAAGCCTTAGATAAATACATTGAAAATATGTGATATTTTTTGTAATCATTTTTATTTATTTATCTATTTATTTGAATTTTTCAGTCAAATGGAATTTTTAGATTATAAGGGAAATAACTGTTTTACGACAATTCGAATTCTTTTAATAACTTACGAAAACTGGAAAACGCCACGAACAAGGGTTTGATGATATTCCTCCGCACTCTTTAAAGTACAGTTACTTATAATTAAAAAGAGAGAATGAGTTGTACAATTAATGTTTAATTATAATGACTGTGGAATATTTTGTGATTTGTGTTGAGAGAAATTATTGGCCTATTAATCAGCGTCATTTCTTAAAAAAAAATCACATTTCATTTTATCGTCTGCTAATTCGCACACATTCACCTTTCCATTCATTATCTTCTTCCTCTCGATATAGAAGCAATTTTTGTTTAGTATAGACCATATTCACTAGAATACAGTTGATCATTCAATCCAATATTCAAGCAAAGATATACAATGTACATACACTTATATTATATATTTAGCTCCATGATTAAGGTTTTTGTATTGTATCAGAAACCATGGCGCTAAATATACATGTGTCTGTGCAGAAACACATATACAGTTTAATTTTAGGCCAACGGCTACAAATGGAAAAGACAAATATGGTTTTTAATGACAGATGTCCCTTATTCAGAGGTCATCTCGGCCTAATCACTGAGGTATTATTCACAAATGATCTTTGTTTACAGGGTAACCATTATTTCAAAAAAAGAAATAACTTAGGTAATTTCCGAATATCTTAAGGTATTAGGACCCTAATGGGCACTATCAGGAACTAAAAAATTGACACCATAAGTCAGATGTATACCTTAAAGTACACCTGTATGCAAAATTTAAAAAGTTTACCGTACGGAAATCAAGTTATGGCCACTTTTCTGAACTCAAGCTAGGATGTTATTAGGAACCTTTAAATAATCTGCAATTACATTCTAATGAAAAATGTTTTCCCATTAAGTTTTGGTAAGAAACAAATAGTACCATTCAGCTAACAATCCAAATAAGCAAAATAATGGTTTCTACTTTAAATTTATGAAATCTGTATAAAAATGTTACCCTACCCCACCCATTTTACCACGTGTCTGACCATTTTTCTACTTAGGGAGCCTAATTTAAAAAATTCTTAAAGTTTACCCAAATGAGTGCCTGTTTTCAAAGTTTCCCTAAATTTTTAAAAAAGTATATTGGTTGATCTTGTAAAATATGAAATACTTTTACCATCAAGTTTTGATTATATTACACTTTGAAAATATCAGGTACCCTATTTATTACTATATTTAGCATAATTTAGCCAATAAATACCTATATAAATTAAAAAATCAAAATTAAACACTTTTTTCTTTCCAAATGGGACATGAGAGATACATAAATAATGTTAAAAGAAAAAATGAAAGAAAAAAAAAGTTGACCCTTCTGGGGATTTTCAATGTAGTTAACAGTAGTTCTAGTCTATTTGCGGCCGGGCTAAATTGGAAATCCCCAGGAAAAGACCCCTGTGTTTATCATCGTCTCCAGTTTATATTGTGATTTACATTGTGATTTACTTGATTTTCACTTTAAATCAGTCACTTTATTTAAGTTATGCGAATGTGTCAAGGTAAACCTATCTAACCAAACATTCAACTTATTTAGTAGCCTTAGACCGATATCAACGTTAATTAAATTCACTTTAGATAATAACATGCACCGCTTTTAAGAGGAAGTGCTTCGTTTCCAATGTAAATAACATGGGGAATTTTAATTAAAAATCGCGCAAGTTTTCCCTTAATTCTAAATCATTTTCTATTGACAAAGGTAGGCCTATATACGATTATATATTTTTATATAAGTGAACTTAAGTCATTAATGACATGTGTCTGTAAACACTACAAACATAGTTCTGGCTTCCAAAACTTTATAAGCCGCTTTTTAACATTTTTGTTTTTCATCAGATGCGGCAGTTCACGTCATGTCATATATATAAACGGGTACGCTGAAGACCTTAAGCTACTACAAACACTGCAATAAAGTAAACAAAAATCAGATGTGTTTGATTTGATTAGATTTGAATTCTACTGTAGTGAGTAACAGAGGAGCATTTCATTAAAAAGTGAATTAAATATAAAGTAATATGATGTAAGATGTACTAATTATGGGTATTAACAACTTCAATTAGACATGCTGTGGTTGACATCACAGGACCTTGAAATTCTATCAATAATCGCCCTAAAGTCAAATTCCCCCAAAAAATCCATACCTACTGGTATATTTGAAAAAACACTTATATATATAGGTATATATATAAATATAGGTCCTGTGTTGACATGTACGCTAGTTGAGATCAGGGTCTGGCCTTCAAATATTGGTTAAGAAATGATATAACCACAAACAACAGTGATTTTCTCGTTTCATAAAATCAATGTTTGGAGTTGGTTCCTGTACGAAATTTTGGCACGGATTCTGGGCGGAATTGGCACGGAATTGACACGGAATCAGTGATTTCTGGGCGGACCAGGGACGGAAACACAAATTCCGTGTCATTCTGTCTCACAAGAAAAATATTTTGTTCACTTTTCTGGGCGGAAAACTAGAAAAATTCCGGCTGGAATTTTATTTGGAGCAGAATTTATACTTAAACATTTCATCATGGACAGAATTTTCAACTTTGAAATTTTCTTGGGAAGGAATGGTCTTCACTATGGGCGGAATTCTATACTTAAACATTTTTCTTGAACAGAATTTCACATCACATATAAGATGTCTAAATCATAATTGTACTCTTGTTTTTGCACTTGCGGACAGTGAAATTTTACCAACTGTACTTATTATTTTTGTTGAAGCATGATACTTGACCAATAATTACAGGTGTATTTTTAGAATAAATAGGTTTATTTTTTTAGACATTAAAATAGGCCTTCTTTTTAGATATTATGGCAAATGATATATTATTTGTCAGACTAATTTAGCAAATCTTTTTTGTACTGAAAAACAACTGTAATAATCTTAGTGTAGAACTTGAAAACATTCACCTCCAAAATGCTTAAGTTTATAATATAAAGGTTTTTCATACAGCTTGTATATACATGTACTGTATTATGAATTTATGACATCATCTGAAAGCAACATTGAAATAAGAATGCTGTTTAAATTTGAATATACTGTAGAATATAGGACAGCCACAGGACAAGATAGTGTGCTTGCCATTTTAAATTCTAAGAATTCTTAATAAAAAAAACAAAAACAGTGCATGAAATAATCTCATATATTATGCCCTTTTAATCTATATAAAATTGATCAACCAATATGCCCAATAATTGCTTTTATTTAGGTAAATAGTTTTATACTACAATTAATGTATATACACAGAGAGTTTACACTACACAGATCAGAGCTCTGATAAAACTCAACTGACCAGCAGTTTCCCACGGATCTATGCATGACTAATTTACTCAACTGGTCATTCCAACAGATCGGACTATTCCATTGAATTATTTTGGGGAGAGATAACATTATAAATTTCATAAGCAGAATTTGTCTAGGACATTGCAGTTTTCTTTTGTACAAAAATTTGTAATGATTTTTAAATTCTATCTATATATTTATTTGTTACTTGAATATATTTTTTTACATTCAATGAATGAAAGTTAAGATGATGAGTAAATTAACCCTGTTTTACATAATGATTGACCTGTCCATGCAGTTATACAGTTGTGAATTTTGAATTCTAAGATATCTGGGTCAGCAAAAAGAGTGCAAATTACATAGGATGTATAGGATATTTTAACAGTTTTGGAGATATACTTTTGTTCAAGATCTCAAAGTGTTTTAGAATTTGTATGATAAATATTATTAGTGTGATAACTTGGGACAAGGAGATGTACAACATAATCAGGTAATTATAAACCTTTAGTTACATTAATGCAGAAACAGGTTTTATATCAATCTATCAATGGTAGCAAACTAAAATTTGTAGCAAGAGGTCAATGTTGTTTTTATATTTTCAACTTCATACATTTGTTGTTTTTTCTTATAAATGTTTTAAATCTTTAATACTTGTATAATTTGTAAGATATAAATTATTCAATGATTCTATATAATGAATGTGTATAATTATTGTATAATAAAAGCATGTAGTACTGATCTTTTTCATTTCCTAGAAATTAAACAAATTAAATAAATTTGATTAAATAGGAATAAATGGTACAAATTCAGAAGTTTTGTACAGTTGAACAGGGTCATCATAATCATTTATTATTTTACATGTATGTGTTGTGTTTCCAATGGAACAATCTAACATTACATTTTACACTCATATTTGCAGGCTTGGACTTAAGTGCTGACTGTGAGATGCAAGGTATTTCAATAAAGATGTGCAGTATTAATCCTGAAAAGGTATATTTTTAAATCTCAATACTTTACTATTCAACATCTTTCCTTGAAAAAATACATTAAACCAGTAATAAATAGTGTCACAAATAAAGCAGTTAATTTATTCTTATACAGAGCAATTCTTAAACACTTGTGCACTGAAATAAGATAGTGTAAGCTTTAGTATTTTTGAATATGCAAAAGCAAAGTTAATATTTAATACTGTTGAAACATAAAATTTGATATTATCAAAAAATATGAAATATAACTGCATATAATTATGCAATAAAACATAAATCATTACAACATTTTTGTTTTAATTTATTATAAATTTTATTATTAAAGGTGAGCGCAACCACAAGAAGTTCTAGGAAACACAGGCAGAGGACTTAAAACAGACATCAATTAAAGAAATAGTATTTAAATAATCAGAAACATTTGAAACAAATTTATCAGCAAAAAATTGCAAAAAACAAAGTGTTGGATTCTAAGAAAACCAGTACCTACCAAAACCTTCAGCTTGAAAAAAACTGTTTGTGATATAGTGAATGTAGGGTTATCTATTCTGTATTTGGACTAAAGGATATGTATTAAATTTTATGAAAGAAAATTTAATGTGATACATTATTGATAATTTTATCCCAAAAAATGTGATCATGTTAAACTCATAAAAATTCCGCCCCCATGAATTCTGTCCCAGAATTCCGCCCAGAATCTTTTTTGACAATTCCGCTCCGAAATTCCGCCCCAAGATTCCGCTTCAAAATTCCGCCCCAAGATTCCGCTTCAAAATTCCGCCCCAAGATTCCGCTCCAACTCATTTGCATATTTCGTCCCAATTCCGCCCAGAATCCGTCCCGTTTCCGCCTGGAATCCGGCCGGAATCCGTGCCAAAAGCAAATGGTTTAACACTTGTATATTTGGGGGAGAATTTCAATTTCTGGGCGGAATCTGCCATTGAATTCCGCCCCATTTCCGTGCAGAAAATTTCGTACAGGTATGCAAGGAATTCATCACAGGGACGTACATGTAGACCTACACGTAGTGATATAATACAACGCATCTGAACGACAAACAGTGATTTTATAGAGCGATAAAATCACAGTGCTTCCCATGGGAATTATATTACATCGATTCTAATACAACATCAACAAATAAATGCTTCTGTACCTGATATTGAGCTAAATTGTCCCGGATTAGTTTCCATGCTTATTTTCAATGCATCGTATTTTTAATGGTTGCGTCACATGTCTAAAAATTGATTGCCTGAACAGTGATTTTATAGCATATTTACACCCACTTTTGGTCCTGATATGTTCAACAGGGAAAAATGTGGGTCGTGTTAGAATGTTGAATAACTAGTTCACACAAATTGTAGTTGAATTAAATGTAAAATTAAAATGAATCAATTAATGTACTTATCATCCTAATTTTCCAGAAAAACATGTAAAATAAACGAGGATAGGAGTTTGTATTTCATCAAGATGTTCCGTGGTCCACGGGATTATTCCAAGTTAGACCTAAAACAGTTTGGTGGACACAAAGATGAGGTATATATGAGATATATTTATCAATTCATACATGTATCACTGAGTGATTTTGATATCGCACAACATTGCTTGACATGAAAGTCTCCTAAATTTTTATATTACACAAGTTTGATACAAAAATGTCAGATTGTCACTTTTTTTCACGTTTTCTAGCTTTGAAATATCATGTGATGGAAATAATCTTTCATTTTATATCCAATTTCATAGGCTCATGCACTTTATGATACTTTCCAAGAATTGTTACCATATAAACTTAAAGGACTCATTTGATATTGAATATACCCGGTACATGTCCAGTAACACTGTAAGTCTTTGACAGTGATTTGTTAATTTACTTTTCATTAAAACAGGTTATGAATGCCTTTAAACTTGGGATTATTTAGCACTGTAACCAATAAATAAGAATATTTAACAAAACCATTCACTTTTTATTTAGTACTTATAAACATTGTGAATTGTGCTTTTCATTAAAAAAGAAATGTGATATGCTCAAATAGTTAAGCTGATTAGAATAAAAACCCTCATTTTTTTTTCGAATTTTCAATATAAAATTTGGAATTTTCAGCAGTTTTGTGAATTGGGGAAGAAACCCTATTCTACCTCTTTTATGTAAAATATATCACTGACACTATAATTTGTTATAATCAAATAGGTAAACAGTGTGGCATTTTCCCTAGACTTCCAGATTATGGTGACAGGATGTGATGATGAGAGAGTTCGAGTCTTCAACACGAGCAATGGAAACCTTGTCTGTAAACTAAAGGGACACACTGGTAAAGTGAACCAATTGTTGCTTTTCTATGTCACAATGATATGATCTTTGAACTCTTAACCTTTAACTTGCTTAATTTTTGCAATAGATTTGCCCTGCTTTGATTTTGGACCAGTCCATTTAAAATCTAAGGGGTTTCACTATCTGCAATAAAACCTACTGTGAATTTTTATAAAAAAACAATTATTGTATCTGTTTAAAGAAATGAATGCCTCTGAATCTTCATTTGATGCATTGAAATATGACGTTGTCTCCTAAATGACCTTGACCTTCAAGGTCAAATGTCTCCATGACATTACTCTTCATTTTCAAATTTAATGGCATTGGATTATTTTTTTCAAATTTGTTTTTTCTAACATCTTTTTAAGACCTTCATCAATAAATGTAGTAATTATACAGTTGATATTTACAGGGGCTGTTAAAAGTGTGTGTATTGCCCCAGACAGTAAAACATTGGCTAGTGGATCATATGATAAGACTGTCAGAGTATGGAGAATGAATGACGGTGAAGCACTCCATGTTCTTGAAGGTATGTTGTGTATACAGTACAACCTCTTCAGAGTGGTCCTCTGTAGTTAGCAATTACCTCTCTACAACAACCGTTTTCCAAAAGTAAGACTTCAAAACATGGACAGTGATATAGAAAAAAGAGAGAAATGCTACAGTGCATATATCACAGTACTCAGAACTTCAAGTCCTACTCTGTTCATGGCCATGTTAGCTCATGTGACACCACATATGCACTGTAGCATTTTTCTATTTTTCCATTCAAACTCTTAATTCAATCAGAGTAAAGTTCAGATCTAAAGTTATTTTTTGCATGTAGATCTGATTGACACTGTATCTATTTCACCTTTATTATGATTCGGATTTCTAGAGAAAGCCATTTTTAGCCATGCAATCAAACATTCCTTTATAGATAAGGCACGTCAGTAATATTTTTGATACTTCATCTCATGCCTATCATGATAAGCTGTTAAGAAGGTTATGAGAAGTGCCCTAATTATGGTGCCCATCAGATCCTTATGGCTGTAGCATTAATTAGGAGCTGATTTTAATCAGATTGACTCTTAAGTAAAAGGACCAAAATATGCTTAAAAAATTTTGTCATTATTGCTATATTTTAAAATCTAGGTCACACAAAAAGTGTCGAGGTTGTCGTGTATTCAGCAGACTCCAGTAAGCTTTGCTCTGGCTCCTGGGACAGAACTGCAATACTCTGGGATGTACAGGTAATTATTGTTTTGGTCTGAGTGACGTGAAAAGAAGTTAACAAATTATTCTATAGAGTTGTTCCCCTTGTAACAACAAATTGTTCTGAAGAGATGTTCCCCTTATCACAAGTTATTCTACAGAGTTGTTCTCCTTGTTACAACAAATTATTCTATAGAGTTGTTCCCCTTGTAACAATAAATTATTCTATAGAGTTGTTCCCCTGGTATTAACAAATTCTATAGAGTTTTTTCCCTTGTCACATTAAATTTGATTAATTTCAATGTCCATTTTATTGCACTGTATTATAGCTTGATTAAATTAATTATAATTTAGTTTTCTTTATCAGTTTATGTTTCATGATTATTGACCTCCTGAAAGTCAGGCGTTTTCAATGAAATTAGAGGATATGAAATTTGAGTCAAACTGGAAAGGGAAAACATTAACAACTTGTAACCTGACCTGGTCAATTTCAAAGTTCGTTTTCAATGATTATTGTGTATTTCATTTAATTTCACCAGTGCTATCTTTAAGTAACCGTGCATTCTTTACACAAATCATCACCTTAGTGCAATAACTGGTTAACTCCTATTGAATTTAGAAGGACTTAACCCGTTATTGCACTAAGGTGATATGCATGATAAGATTTCTTGGGAACGTTTTTTAAAATTTTATCAATAAGTCACTGACATTGGAAAAAAAGCCCATTTTGGTAAAATTCCCACAACTTAAGAAAGCTCATGATAAATAATACAGACTAACATGTGAACAAAGGTCACCCATTGTAAAACCAAAATACTGCCTTTATTGACAGATGGCTTTCATTAAAAGGCTATAAATGATGGGTGTTATTTTTTTCACACAAAGTCTTTCTTTACAGGGGTGACCTTTATTTTCAGGTGGCTGCAAACACATGTTTGTCTGTATACTTTTAAATTAAATTAAATCATGTTTTATAAACTATGAATTGCAGTAAACGGTTCAGCTCCAGTATAATCTTTAGCATAATTGTAAACTGTACTATTATTTTATTTTCAGAATGGATATTTACTGAAGGTGTTTGAGGGTCATGAAAATTTGGTGCAGTCTATAGCATTTTCTCATAATGGGTTTTTCCTTGTAAGTTCTTTTTAATTATACAGTACACTTTTACACATCAAGTTATTGGGTAATTGTGGGCGTCCATGGTCGAGTGGTTAAGGTCATCAACTTCACACCACTTGCCCGTCACCGCTATGGGTGGGAATCACAAGGAAGCTATCTAGCTACTTTACTGAACATCTTTTTGTTGTTTATACATGTATATATAAACTATATATTTAAACAATGTATAAATAATAATATTCTGTGGAACAAAATTCTCGTTGGAAAAAAATCAGGACTCAAGGTTATAAAACGTTTTTCTGTGGGTCCGAGGTTTTAAAAAAATTTCTCAGCTCAAATTCAAATCTCAGGTATTTGATTGGTTAGAAACTGGCACTGGATGACAGGACTTATAACCTGGAGGCTCTGTCTGGGATATAAGGATTCTCATTAGTCATTATGTACATACTGTACTGTGTACTGACCAATCAGAAACTAGTATGTGAGATCTAAGTTTGACCTTACAAAATGTCTTTATAACCTCAGACTCTAATCTGCTATGCTCTGACCAATCAAATATCTGAGGTCAAAAATTAAGCTCGGAAAATTTCTTTACAAATTCAAGCATTTACTATGAACAATTTGTTTAACAGGCTACAGGATCATGGGATTTTACAGTTAGATTATGGACAATAGGAAGCCCTGATGGTGTAGACAAAGTTAAAGTGCTAGAAGGTCATAAAGGCAACGTACATGCTGTCGCCTTCTCTAAAGATGGAATGCTGGTACGTTATACTTTTGTTTTTCTATAATAAATAATCTTCTACTCTTACATAAATTTTATCATTACATGTAATAATTGGGTGTGTTTGTTTTATTCTGCAGATCTTTCAATATCATTTGGCTTGCTCAATTCACTTTTTGTTTTATTAAAATCAACACATTAGTGGATGTAGGGAAAATTAAGTCAAACCAACTCAGATAGTGGGGTAGGAAAAATTAAGACAGGCAATCATAGGAAATGAGGGTGGGGAAAATTAAGACAAACAAACACAGAAAATGGGGGTGGGGAAAATTGTGACAAACCAACACAGTAAGTGGGGGTAGAGAAAATTAAGGCATTCAACCAACACAGTAAGTGGGGGTGGGGAAAATTGAGACAAACCAACACAGATATGGGGGTAGAGAAAATCAAAACATTCAGCCAACACAGAAAATGGGGTATGGAAAATTGAGGCATTAACCAACACAGAAAGTGGGGTGGGGAAAATTTAAGACATTCAACCAACACAGAAAGTAAAGGTGGGGAAAATTGAGACAAACCTGCACACAAAAAGGATCATATGACCATTTCCAAGGTTTGCTTGATCAGTAGGGCCTTAGGTGCCCTTCCATGCAGTATATTAGACATGAGTGGGTGCTTGAGCAGAATCATCAATGGTTAAACTAGTTTGATAGATGACTCCTAATTTGAAAATTATTCATTCTCCTTTTAGACATATGAGCTTCCAAAGACCTATTCCCATTCCAGTATTAGACACTGAGAACAGCTATGTGTAACAACATGCTGACCAATCTTTTCATTTATAGCAAGCAGCCATTTGAATGACTTCTAAAGTTGTTGCCCATACTTCAAATTTTAGTATTTCATTCACCATGAAAGTAGGAGAGTTACAATATAACTGCTTAAGAAAACATCAATGTGATTGACATTCCAAGCAGAAAAGAAATATAGTAACTGTGATTTCTGTTAGTGATTTAGAGAAAACAAAAATCAAACATTCACAACCAGTATTGATATGTTTTACAGGCATCTGGGTCCTGGGACAGGTCAGTCAAGTTATGGAATCCTCGTACTGGCAAGCTGATACACTCGCTGACGGGACATGAGGGATGGGTTCAAGCCCTGGCTTTCTCTAACGATGGGATATACTTAGCCAGTGCCAGTGATGATGATACTGTGAGGGTCTGGGATGTAGTGACAGGGGCTTGTATTAAAGTGCTAGAGGTAGGGTTGGGTTTGTTTTTGATATTTTCAAAGAAATGATAAATCTATTCCCTTATGCCATTAATTATCAAGGAATAGATTGCGTTTAGCAGAAATATCTTCAAAAGAGTATTCGTTAAGTGTTATAAGTTTATTTTTGTATTCCTTCTCAGATAGATAGATTGTGAGGACATATTGTTTTTGGTCTGTACTTTGTCCATGCACCTTGATGAGCTCTACCTACAGGACCCACTTAGAGATCACATGATCAAAGGTAAAGGTCACCAGGGAAAGCTTCCATCCTTCAGTCATTCTGTCTTGATATCAAATGTCATAACATGAGTTTCAGCCAATCAGACTTTATCTAATGTATCACCATTTCAATTTTATCTACTTTATATGTCAAAATTTGACAAATATTAGGTCAACATTTTGACATTTTCATTTTTTTTTCATGTCTTTTTTAAGCCTTATTGTAATAATGAGGTTCACAAACCAGTTAATTACTCTAGGGAACCTTGTATGTGTCAGCATCTGTTTTCGTTCTATTATAGACTATAGCAGGGGCTGCTTACAGACATCTACCTCCAGCAAAGCTCTTCTAAAAGATTTCCCCTAAAATTACATTAAGTTTTTTCTTCCCCTTTTGCAATAATACAGTGTTATTTTCCCCAAATTTATGGGATGTGCCCTTACTGTAAAAAAAGCCCAGGACAGTGTCTTGTTGATTTCATATTTTTAATACCATCTTTAATGTATATCAGTAAGAGTATTGTTAAATAATAGCTTACCAAGTAATTCTTGGATCCACTCTATTATAACCTCAGTCCTGTTGATATAAATTTAATAACGATTAACTTTTTTTATTTACAGGGTCAAACAGACATAGCCCAACATTGTGCATTTACCCCAGGAGGGGCTCTGGTTGCATCCGGTGCTGCGGGGATGACATTGTCTCTAACCTGACGTCCGTTCTAAAACCAGACATCATCTTTTACTAGATCATCGCTCTAACCATTCATACCATCACCTCAGTACAGTACCGGGTACTTTATACCTATTAAAATTGAATTGGACTGGTTATTGCACTAAGGTGACGATACATCAGTTTAAAATTGTCAATTCTTTGCCATTTTTTAGTCTTTACCAGTTCTAAAACAACTGCTTAGCAAGAATTGGTGCTGCTTGAATTCTTGTTTGTTAATAGTTTTAATGTGTTTTTGTATATTCATTTTTTGTTCGCAATGTGTGTTTTGATGAAAAAATGAAGTTAGTACCAAGCTTAGAAATAATATTTTTCTTACCATTTCCATGACAACTTAGCTGAATATTGTTTGATTAAAAAGAAGCAGTTAATTAACTTTTGAATTATTAGAAATAACTTTTCATGTTAGTAGTGCCACTTATAATTTATTATACCATATAAGGGAGTATAAATCTTTTAAAGAAGTTTTCGAAGAAGAAAATACATGTACTATTGTAAAACAGAAATAGCATTTTAAAAATGTTTTTATTGAGATTTTACTATTTAGGTTTTCTAAAGAGTCATGTTTGATATAGCATTATGTAAATTATATTCTATTGTAAGTATACCATAAGTCTAATATGACTTCCTGAGGGTCAATAGTTTACCAAGTAAGTTTTTTGGTTTGTATCATAAACATCTTGTTTTAAAGGGATCCCACTGAAGTTTTTTGACATGACAGGGCTGGAAATATTTTTTGGAGATTAATGTTCCAATTGATGGAGAGCTAAACCAATATGACATTTTCTATTGAATATCTTCCTGTATTAAGAACCCCTGAAATTTAAATTTCATTTTTTTGCGGTTTTAGACCTCAGTTGAGTTCCTTTAAAGGCAAATAACAGCAAAAAAGGACTAATATTAGAGGGAAAAACAACAACTATGAAAGTCAAAGTAAATTATTGCCAATTTGCATGTAAAACTTGGATGCCCGTCTTATAAATGTGAGGTCTTATAGGTGGGTTTATAGGTGATATTTTCACGGGGTGGGGAAGCAATCCTGAAAATTGGCAATGATTAACAATATAAGGATGCTAAACTGGTTATAAAATAAGTAATGGTAATATAACTGATTTATTTTTTTGTTTAAGATGTGAATGAAGTTTTTAAGTTTTTGATCATGATTTATTTTTATCTTATTTTGCTTTTAAAGATCCTGTACTTCAATTTTTTTTATGGTTTTATATTATAAATATAATGCTCAAATGAGATTTATCAATATTGTAAGTTCTAAAAAGCATTATTTGTAAAGATACGAATTTACAATTCATGTTAATAAAGGGAAGTAATTAGCAATTTATTTTCTGTAAAGTCTTTAGTCAATTTTTTTAATAAGATATGAATGCATATATTTTAATGATTACATATAATGTGCACAAATATTTGCAGTACATTTTCTTTGATGTTTGAAAATTGTTTTAAGAAGCATAATTATATACATATATAAAATTTCACTTAAGTGTGGTTACAACCTTAATTACAACATACAGGATCTTTAAGAATATTATTCACATATAATTCTTTTTCCATGTTGCTTTAAGTGGTAAAACATTTGTGTTTCAATTCCCTAGAGTATGTAGTTTAATGTGGATAACTATATTATTGAAACACCGTTTGCATTTCTATTTATTTATTTATTAACTGGTTATGTGTATTTTATTAGATATTATGATTTAATTATGTCTCCCCCACCTCGGGGGGAGACATATTGTTTTTGCCCTGTCCGTCCGTCCGTCAGTCCGTCCGTCCGTCAGTCAGTCAGTCCGTCCGTCCATTCTTCGTTTCCTGACGATAACTAGAGTTCCTTTTGACCTACAGCTCTCAAACTTCATAGGATGAATGGTCTTATTGAGCAGATGATCCCTATTGTTTTTGGGGTCAGTAGGTCAAAGGTCAAGGTCACAGTGACCGTTGGTCAATTTCTCGTTTCCGGATGATAACTAGAGTTCCTTTTGACCTACAGCCCTCAAACTTCATAGGATGATTGGTCTTATAGAGCTGATGATCCCTATTGTTTTTGGGTCAGTAGGTCAAAGGTCAAGGTCACACTGACCGTTGGTCAATTTCTCGTTTCCGGATGATAACTAGAGTTCCTTTAGACCTACAGACCTCAAACTTCATAGGATGAATGGTCTTATTGAGCAGATGATCCCTATTGTTTTTGGGGTCAGTAGGTCAAAGGTCAAGGTCACAGTGACCGTTGGTCAATTTCTCGTTTCCGGATGATAACTAGAGTTCCTTTTGACCTACAGCCCTCAAACTTCATAGGATGATTGGTCTTATAGAGCTGATGATCCCTATTGTTTTTGGGGTCAGTAGGTCAAAGGTCAAGGTCACACTGACCGTTGGTCAATTTCTCGTTTCCGGATGATAACTAGAGTTCCTTTAGACCTACAGACCTCAAACTTCATAGGATGATTGGTCTTATTGAGCAGATGATCCCTATTGTTTTTGGGGTCAGTAGTTCAAAGGTCAAGGTCACAGTGACCGTTGGTCAATTTCTCGTTTCCGGATGATAACTAGAGTTCCTTTTGACCTACAGCCCTCAAACTTCATAGGATGATTGGTCTTATAGAGCAGATGATCCCTATTGTTTTTGGGGTCAGTAGGTCAAAGGTCAAGGTCACAGTGACCGTTGGTCAATTTCTCATTTCCGGATGATAACTAGAGTTCCTTTTGACCTACAACCCTCAAACTTCATAGGATGATTGGTCTTATTAATCAAATGATCCATATTGTTTTAATGGTCAGTAGGTCAAAGGTCAAGGTCACAGCGACCGTTGGTTAATATTGAATACCTGGTTAAAAACAACAGTTTAGGAAGCATCTTCTCATACAACCTTAACAATAGAAACCATCCATAGACAGCCTTCATTGAAGTGACTACCGGGTATTTACATTATCTTATCTCCATTTCCATTCCTGTTTCCATTCACAGTTATTCTCAGCAGTGGGGGAGACATGCGCTTTTTTACAAAAGCATCCTCTAGTTTATTTATTTATTCCTGCCTTCCATTATCATGTGTCATTTTTATTATTTTCATTCATTTAGAACTATTTTAATGCCTGGAAACTAACATATACTGTATTCAGCTTAATGATTTTTGAATCTGATGTCTCTATAATTGATAATGGCAGTTTCAAAGGAAAAAATTGGACAGGTACATTAAGTAAATGCAGGAAAAACAGCTAATTGAAATAGTATATGCTCATTCAAAGTATTTTCTGAAAGTAAATTTTGTGGTTTTATTTATTTTCTCATGCCTTTAAACTACCTGTCTACATGTGATGTTAATGTATAAATAATATGTCAAAGAAAATATAAATGATACTGCATAGAACAAATGTAGAATGTATAAAAAGTGCTATGTATTATAATGAATGAAATATTTGTTTCTTACCTGAATTTCTTAAATGGACTAGTTCAGATATGAACTTGGAACAGTCTATGGTGTAGTTTAGGGTAATCAGGATCAGAATTATCTATTAAAGCAGCATTAAGCTCTTATTTTTTTTTTTTGAAAAACAATTCGCTGCTGTTTGAAACTAAGTATTTCAATAATTTTGTGACCTAGGAAAAGTGTATCATATCACTGTTAAACTTTTTTCCAAACAGTGTCCTGAGAGTACATTGAGGTTTGTTTCTAAAAATAGAAGATTGGAAAACAAATTATCTACTTTACTTATTTACATAAAGAGAGTGGACTGGTACATAAGTGGTATCAAAAGGTGTCTTTATTGTTTTTGTATTTTATCCATGACAAATTTCATTTCATACTTTAATTCTTTTGATTTGACAATGTATATAAAACGAGTTATCTTAAAATAACATATTTAACCTTTAAAATAGCTGAAGACCGCTTTAACAGTATAGATTCAGGTTATAGTGCTCGGACTATTAATTGCTTTGGCTTGCAATTGACTCAGGTGGCAAAAACCAAGCTGGCAACTTAAGTACCAGCACTTTTGTACATAATAAACATTATTCGACATTTTTCTATGCACCTGCTCAAAGCATTGTTTACATAGATCGAAGTGCTTTTTCTTTTAATGTTATGTTGCATTTTATTTATTGAATGGAAACATTGTTCTTATGTATTTATTGAATGCCAAATTTCTCAATGTGACAAAAATAGGCAGTTATTTGCTTAGTGAATTTGTATGTAAATGTGCAGTTATTTGCTTAGACTAGTGAACTTGTTTGTATAAAAATGGGCAGTTATTTGCTTAGACTAGTGAACTTGTATGTATAAAAATGGGCAGTTATTTGCTTTGAAAATTGTATAAACATCTGCTGTTATTTGCTTAGACTAGTGAACTTGTATGTATAAAAATGGGCAGTTATTTGCTTAGACTAGTGAACTTGTATGTATAAAAATGGGCAGTTATTTGCTTTGAAAATTGTATAAACATGTGCAGTTATTTGCTTAGACTAGTGAACTTGTATGTATAAAAATGGGCAGTTATTTGCTTAGACTAGTGAACTTGTATGTATAAAAATGGGCAGTTATTTGCTTAGACTAGTGAACTTGTATGTATAAAAATGGGCAGTTATTTGCTTAGACTAGTGAACTTGTTTGTATAAAAATGGGCAGTTATTTGCTTAGACTAGTGAACTTGTTTGTATAAAAATGGGCAGTTATTTGCTTAGACTAGTGAACTTGTATGTATAAAAATGGGCAGTTATTTGCTTAGACTAGTGAACTTGTATGTATAAAAATGGGCAGTTATTTGCTTAGACTAGTGAACTTGTATGTATAAAAATGGGCAGTTATTTGTTTAGTGAATTTGTTAAAAATGTGAATTACATGTATCAGAAATTTTAAAGTTATCAATTGAGATTTTTAGCCTTTTATCAATACAGCCTTTTTCTATTAAAACATACACAAAGGTCATTTCCTGTTCAGTTAAACAGGAGCGAAGTTTCATACTGTGAACTCACTAAATTTCTAGGGCATGGAATATCAGGGTTTGACAGAAAGGACATTTTTGTGGGTTCATAAATTCGTGGAATGTCTGCTTTTTGTGCAAAATAATAAAATACAGCAGACAAAATAAAAAAAAAATTGTTGGATCTTAAATTCATGGGTTGACCTGTCCACGAATGTCAGTGTCCCACGAATAATAATGATTTGCAGTATAAACATTTTTTTCTAAGAGCT